GGAGTATCAAATGAACTATTAAATGAATTTCGGACGAGAATGTCCAAGTTACAAAAACGTTATTGCATATCAGATACAAGAATTTAAAAGAAACTCAGTTTGAGAGACGTTATTTAGTCAACTGTGGTTATTGAAATTCAAATTAACAAAGTTTTTCTACTATATACAACTGTTTATTTACACCTAATTAATCATTTACAAAATAATGTAAAAGTAATAATGTGTTTTATTATTTATTAATAGAAAGAATATATTTATTCATCCAGCATCCACAGAATCAGTAGCTCTTTGTGCATGTAATTAACTATGCAGAGTTCTGACTGGAACTGTGTTATTTCTAGAGAAGAATGCAAAATTAACACGTGGAATATTTATTCAAAGCTACCATTAACACGACAGAAGTAAACTGTATAATATCTACCTAATTATTCAGAAAATCTTAAATAAATAAGAAGTAGCAAAAAACTTGGGAGCATTACATATATTACCACAGGTAAAAGAATATATATATTGTGACATAGTTCCAACAGGAAAATATTTATCGCAAATTGTTCTAAATTCATTGGATCCTACTGAAAATGTGTTTCTGGACAACACACAAAGTGATATCAACAAAATTAATAATGGTTAAATATAGCGATTATACTTTACTTTTAAAATGCTAAAACGGATAGTTTAAGAAGATTAGAATTCATCTAATATAATTTGTATAAATTTTAATACAACATCAGTACTTGCACTCCCACATCCAAGCTGAACATCTTTCACATCCAAGCTCAATTGTAAAGAATTATAGCCCAGAATGTTTTTATACAAAGCAAGAAATTTAAATATCCCCAATAAACAGATCTACATATTTTTTTCATAATTCCATTTTTAATTTTATAGCTTATAATATCATATATTTATTGCATCCTCATGTAGGGATGCTTGTAAAAAATGAATATAAGCTCACATAATTATAGAAGTATGCAAGATCTTAACGAAGCAGTGAAGTGCTCCCTAAAACACTTCATAAGATGCGTATGCATTAAAAAATGATATGGTTTGGTTATCGCTTAATCTCGGCATTATAGAACTTACTGCCACGACGTCCCTGCGAACGCTGCTCGGAGTAACTGCCCGGAGAGATTTATCAACAGGTTCAAAGTAGAAACGGAAGCGCTGACTCATCTCCCCTACGTTTTAAGACTCTTATTATATCAGAAGTAACGTCATTGTCCACAGTTACCCCTTCCACAATTTTTTCTGGTAGATATTTTAGTAAAAATGACGTCATAAAATATATCTCATGGACCTTATAAGAAATAGACTAACCCAGTGGGCGGGGCGTGCGTCACTGACATGTCGGCAAGAAAGAGTAGGGACGATTTGGTTTACTTTAACACTGAAACCTATGGCGTTTGTATCACACAACTCTTTTTCATTATTAAATGTGATACGTTGTATACTGATGAGATTATGAAAGCCACAGTTTTTTCCAAATAGGATTTAATATATCTCATTAAAGCACTTTTTTCTGCATTTCGCGCATTTTTTTCACGCATAATTCTTGTACAAACATCTTTTACTTTGGGTAAAACTTTAAAAAACTCTAAGCACAAAATTTATGAACTTAATTTTTCGTAAAAATAAAGTAAAATTAAATAAGATTGATAGTACGTGATGCTTTAAAATAAATAAGGTAAAATTAAACAAGATCTTATATATTTTTTTTTAATTTAATGAACATTTTCAGGCAGTGATTTTCTAAACTATAATAACATTACAAAACGGTCATATTTATTATATGATCATTAAATTATTAACATTAAAGTGGATTAGTTATTTTAATCTTTCATAAAATTCGGAGCATAAAATTTTCTGAGCGTAATGAAGAAAAAAAAAAAAAAAAAAAAGATAAATTAAATCTAGAAGCACTCTTTTTTTAAAGTTTTGTGTGTTACCTATATTTATTGAATATCATGTTCTTTGCCCGTAAACCACATACACTTGAAAACTGCATATCTTCAAAATTTCCGCACTGGAGATAAAACTGTTATTTTAAGCACAATACTCGCTCTGAACTCGTTGAGTTTGTTAATCAAAAATTCATTAAAGTTTTACAAAATATGAAATAGATTAAAACAAATTCGAAATTCGGCCGTCCAGATGCCTATGTTGGGGTGGAGGATTACATTATTCAAAATTTGATGGCTCTAGATACTGTCGTTTTTGTCACAGTGCGAGAAACATACATGCCTGCATATTCATTATTTAATCATCATGCAGATTCTTCATTATTTAATTTCTTTACATATAATACAGGGCGATAATATTTGGTAACAATAATTTGCAAGGAGACACGGACATTTATAGTAAAACAGCACAAAATGCCGCTTCGAAACTAACAGCCTTTCTAGGCTACCGCCGCTTTGGGCTAATAAATTAAATTAACAGTAAATAAAAAATCTTGTGCAGAACTAAAAATAAATTTTAAAAATAATCACTATAAAATACAAGCAAAATTAATTATTACGGTTAAATACAATTTTAATATTAGAATCAAATGTATAAAATTTTTAAGGAGTCAAAAGTCTTTATCACTATGATGTATTATGAAATATAATTGAAATAAAACTCCTTTATAAAAATTGTGCTATAATACTCATCTATAATTTTAAAAAAGCAGCACGATTTAGAATTTTAAACAAAACTTTCGAAAATTCGTTTTTAAATATTTTGGTATTTTTTACTTATTTACACCAATAAAAAGCATAAAAATTGCAAGAGAAAATTGCTTGTTTGAAATTTCCTATTAGTTCAGGTTTAAAATATTATTTTCTAAAAGAAGTAGTTACAAATTTCCTTACAGCATAGGAAAAGCTAAAAAAATATCCAGTCCTGAAAGCATGCAATAGCTTTATAATTATTTGGAACGTTAATTATGCTTGATAAATATGCTAAATTTTTAAAAATCAATCTCAATTTCAAAAATAAAAATATGTAGAAATTCTAATTTATGAAATGAGGCGCTACAACCAGCTTTTTCTTGACAATTATACACGCTGCTTATAGGCAACCAATGTTAAATTTCTGCAGGTCGTCTTACTTCTCCGGATGTGATCAAGGTGACAGCCGGCAACGCCTCAGACAAGGGAGAAAACCCGTTTGGGTTAGTCTATTTCTTATAAGGTCCATGATATATCTACTTTTAAATATATTTGTTTTAAGCCAGTATAATTTGCCTATCCAAAAAGGGCCGTGGTCTCTAACGTAACTTCCTGTAAAAAGCAGAAATTCTGAAACAGTAACTGTTTCAGAATCTAAGGAGTAGAAGGAAAACGGCTCAACTCTTCCACAATACGTATTTTTATACTACTACCAACAAAACCTTATAAGCTTTTATACAAGCGTTAGTACCCCTGGATTGAGATACCAGGCTGCTTTCAGCAGAACCTTTTTAAAATGTATAAAGTGATTTTATAAACATAAATAAATCGTAGCTTATAGATGCTTGCAAAAAATATTACTTTTATTTTTTTCGAAAAAATTAATTCATGCATCTGACAACAACGATTTTTAAAAATGCGCATTATATCAGAATTTGGCATTTTCATCTGCAGAAGAAGAGAAAAATATTCGTTTACTGAAAGCTACTGTTGTCTGACATGTGAATTCAGTAATCGGGAAAGCTTTCCATTACTATATCAGAGGAACTGAGTATTACAGGAAGATATAGTCTACTCCAACCTTAAAGGATTACCCAAGATTAATAGGTAATAATAAAAACACGTATAAAAACTGTCAGGAATACACGTATAAAAACTGACAGGAAAATTAGTGATGGCGCAATCAAATCTGGGATTTAACTGATCTCATATTTAATAGATATACTGAAGGATATGCTGATGTTATTAATGCTGCTTAAAAGAGCTATAAAATTCTGTAAACAATGTTAAGTAACCGTAATTTTTTTATTCCCGAAATCATCTGAAACACTATCAACATTTGTAGAAGTTCACTGATTAATTTCTTCATAAAATGGCAAACTCACTTGGCAAATTTCTTTATAATTTATTGAATGCCTCCGTTTTGGGCGGTTTGTTCACCTTTCAGAGAAATCTTTTAGTGCAAGATTATTTTACTTATCAAATTCCTATTTGTAGTAAGTTAACCATCATCTCCTAGATATGAATTTCACATTCTGTAATTAAGCGATCATTGGTTTACGTTATAAAATATTTATTTACTGTAATTCATGTTGAATGCTCTTACAATTTCGGGCTCATAGTAATAAATGATACAACAGTTTATCCTGATTCGCTAAACATTTAGATGAGAAATCACAAGCAAATTTAACCCACAACGAGGTTAATTCATATTTCACGTAAGAAGGTAATAAGCAACATTACTAATATGTGTTATTCTTTCTTGTTACTTTTGCTTGTACAGAATCCTGAGATTCTGTTAACTCCATAAGTTATTAGGACATAAAATATGTTTGTCCGTAACCACAGATCTGATTTTCTTAGAAACAGTATGACTTTTCACCAGTTACATTCCGGTTTTAATATAATTTAATAGAGCTTGTGTATGGTGCACTGCCATCTAAACTGCTGATCTATCTTAAAGTTTGCAGAGGTCTTCCAATCCTAATTTTCTGGAATATTTGTCAGGATTATCAGTTTAACATTTCAACTGTGATTCTGTATGGGTTCTTTTGCAGTGGCTTAAGATTAGATCCGAAGATATACAATATTGATAAATCTGCAGCTGAAGTCAAAGGTTTAATAACTTTTCAAGAAATATATATATGCTGACAGTTATAATGGTGAAAATTAATAGAATATGCTAGCTTACTTCAATAGTTAATGAGGAAATGTGTTACCAGCAATATCTAAATATCAACAAAAATCACCAAATCTAGTCCTTTATCTCCAATACAAGATTAACCATGCTACGTCTTCGTTTCCTCGTTTCACGAAATTTCAACTCAAGCATGTTTTGTTTCTTTTCAGGCTCCACCGTGAAAAAATTTTGCAATACAAAGCTACATGAAAGGGAAGGCTATATCATCTCCCCTGGTTACCCCCAGTACTATCCTGAGTTGGATGTGTGTTTCTGGAACTTAACGGCCGCGGAAGGTCAGACAATACTTTTGAAAATTCTTCATCTCCATTTAAGTCCAGCAACGGAAATACGTCCCACGGAATCGGACATAGAGTTGTACGGAGTCCTTGGCCAGCTCATCGCAGAGCCGATCATAAGATGTGACGATGATTCATTGACAGTATTAGAAGGAAACGTGAAGCGGTTATCTCTCTGTGGTGAAGCTATTGAAGCGTTGCAAACCCTTGAAGCAGATGCCAGTAATGGCCTTACCCTGAGTTTCAAGTCTGTGGCTTTCCGGCCTGCGAGCGGATTTCTGGTGTACTTTAAAAGTGAGCAGATATTTCTTTAACACATAAACTGTAACTGTTTATAACATGTTTTTAACCTTAGTAATTAAATTATATTCATGGTTTATTATGGCAGTAATGCTTGCTGACGCAAATCAGCAATTTACTACAACCAGCATCGCAATTACCAGAACTTATTCTTTTAATACACATTTAGTTAGGATACCGAGAAGCATTTTAAATTCAAAACAAATAAATTACGCAATGCCACTTTGTATTACGTTAAAATAAACGTGAAGTTTCTGCGTAAAGTCTAATGTTTCATAAATGCTCAATGTGTCAGTCTTTGCTATTACAGCAGAAATTTATGTCGTTGGGAATATTAACTGACTGGAATGAATAGACCATGTGTTTCGCGCATCACAGTTATTTAGGTTATGGACCAAAAAAATTCTTCAGTCAGCCAACCCACCATTTGGAAGGATACTTGTACATACTAGGAAGTTAGCTGATGCCATAGTTGAATGAACCTCTGATGATTATGTCTGTCAGCAGGATAATTATCCAATCCACAGACTTCTTTCTATAATATATCAATGAAAATTTGTTAGAAAATTAGGCAGGATGTAGAAGACAAGGACGATGACGCACTGACGCTGTGGCCATTACAACGTACGAGTTGAATCCTCGAGTGACGTTTTCTTTTGGAGTTTAAAGAGGACACTATCTTTGTACCTATAGTCCCCGTGAATCAACAATACCTTCTAAATCTCTGGCATTCTGATTCTGGTTGCCCATGAAGTTCTGGTCCTGAACAACATGGCTTGTTGCCAATATGCACCAACGAAAGTGGATACATTAAACATTTGTGAAATAGATTTTTTTTCAAAAGTTAAATTAAAATGTCAACAAATTTCAAAAGATGAGTTTATTTCAGGATAATAAAAAATGGCATCGGAAGTATAGCTTCTTAGTTAGTAATTTTAAAAAAAGTGCATGGAATTATGAATATTATTACTATAGTTATCATTATTATTTCACTACAAGCCAGCGTAGGTCATGCTTTCCGCTTCTGAAAATTTTCAAGTAATTTGCTTAATTTCATTTTCAGCCATTTCCATACATAGCGCCTGAGAAAAGTTTTAAGAAATTATTCAGTTTTATATTAGCCATTTTAAACACTTTTCTAATATATAGAAACTAGACTAAAAGTTGTGTAAAATTATTTAGTTAAATGATAATAATGATGAAGATTTCTAAAGGGCAAGTGAACGAAATTCACAGTTTCTGTTAGATATCGATAACCGCGATAGGAAATCTTCTTCAAGGCACAGTGTCTGTAAATTATTCAAATAAAGACAGTGATGTAAATGCTTGCATTACTATCCAAAAAAGTATCGGGAATGATGAAATGCCATTCACGATTTTCTCCGGAAATAACAAGACCATAAGGTCACAACTTTTTCAGCTCTAAATTTGTCAGAAATTATGTGGGGAAACTTGTGGTAATATTCTTGAAGTGTTAAGTGTTTATAATATTAAAGTTAGAAAATGTTAAATTGTTAATGGTAACTTATCCTGCATACTCGTGTGTTGTTCTTATCTGTTTTGTAGCTACTAACTTTCCCGGTGTTTCACATGAAGCATATGGAGCAAAGATCGAGCCCCAAATCGGAGGCCTGAAACAAGTTAGCTTTTACCCGATTCCTTCTTTTTTATCTGCCCTTGTCCATTCCCGTGTTACAATGGTGTGCTTTGGACATCGGTGATGTTCTCGAGAATATTTTCAATATTTTCTAATTTAAAGTCATCATATGCTTGTTACTCTGTTATTGGATGTTCTGAAAGAACTGATGCATCAAAAAATTAAAAATTAGGCCTTCATAGATACGTCATTCATGTATGTAAAATAATTTAAAGTTTCCTTTCCATTCGTACTGTTTCTGCTTCTTTTTTTTTTTTTTTTTTTTTTTTTTTTTTTTTTTTTTTGTTAGGATTTATTATAAAACTTAGATGAATTTAAAAATTTAGAATCAACTGTTAATTTCGTAAGAATAAGATAAAAGCTTATTTAGCTTATTTGATCACCTAAACAAAGGTTTCTCAACCTTTTTACATCTACCGCTCACTTTGTAGGTATTAAAATCTTCTTACCACCCATCGTAATTTAATTTAGCCCAAATGCAAAGTCATTTTTGCATGGAGTTTAATAAAAAATATATAGTTTAATTTATTCATTTATTTATATTTTGTGTGTATTTATAATGGGCAGATAATTTATATTCCTCGTAGCTGGGACTTTGATTCCAGCGAAATTATGTCGGTTAGAAACCCTTCATTGGTAGGAGAAATAGAAATTAATTTCTTGAGAAAGTTTCTCCTAGCCTCGCTCAATGTTAAATGTGATAATCCCATTATAGGTACTATAGTCGCTGAGCAACACCTAAGGGAAGTGACTTCGGATTTTATACGAATTTTAAAGTCTTTAATAAAAAATTGATGAAATCTTTTTACGGTTTCTGATTTCAAATGGACCAAGAAAACGAAACATATTAATCGACTTCGATTCATAATTCCATGCATCAGGCTTTAATTCATTTCCCCCTGATGAGTTCTGATTTGGAGTTTCAATAAAAGTCGATTAATTTTTATTTGTATAATTTTGCATATTTTCCCTTTCGCATTTTTATTTTTCGAGATTGTTCTACTATGAATGCTTTCTTTAATTATATTTGTTTTGATATTGTGTTAAACCTCTTACACACGGTCGCAATTATTATATTATAGAGGTTGATAGATATTCAATTTTGAAGGGTTGTTGTGCCGCGTGGCACAAGGGCTGATTGTGGTGATTGAATACGCCATCCCTATTGAATGTGGCCTCATCCGTGAACAACACATAACTGGGAAATTAACTTCACGGCCACTTTCTTGCAGAACCACTGTGCGAAACGCATACGTTCAGGATGGTCATCGGGGGGTGGAACAATAACTGAAACTTTGGAGACGAAGTGCGTAGAACGATTCGGCGCTCAAGATACGCTGGACACTGGTACCAGACATTCTTAATTGAGAGGCAATGGCACGCATGTGTGTCCTTGGATTACTCTCCACCGTATCCAACATACTTTCTTCCCTAACGAGCGAGCGAGTCTATCGTGACCTGCCCTCACTTGTCCTGCCACTTCTTAATGACCCGTAGTGTCTCAATTTTGATGCAGACGTGAAAACAAACTGTGGTGTGGTTGATGTCTGTCGGAGAAGCGTTCTCGATAAATTCGTGCGGCTGGCTGGTCCATTACTTTTATCTATTCCATACACTAAGTGCATGTCTGCAAGCTCTCCGTTCGTATAGCGTTCCATGCTCTTCGTATGGTGCTTACGCAACGAATGAGACAATATGGTGCCTATGCACGAATGAGGCAATCGTCACTTTCCACTAGCACTTTCCTGTAGAGCGGCATCCGCATGAGCCAATCAACGCTCAGATATCATGATTTATCCGACCAGTCAACTGTCTTCCAATTGTCCATGGTCCGGTCTCGATGTTGCCGGCCCCACTATAGGCGTAGCTGACAGCGACCCTTGGTCAACAGAAGCACACGAGTGGGATGTCTGCTGCACAATCCCATATCCAACAGTGTCCGCTAAATTGTGTGTTTCAAAACACTTAAATTTGTATTGTATTGGGCTGTCAGCTAATCTACACTGTCTGACGACGATTTTACTGTACAAAGTAGGACAGTCTCCCACGTCCTTTTTCTTTGAAAACTCGTGGACGTCCAACCACCTTGGCATTTACTGCTGGTTTCACAGTAATATATCCACTACAAATACAACAACGGCGTAAATACAACAACGGCAGCTCAGCCACCCAACCGGTATAGTGGTTAGCAGCGTCGCTGACTGCCGTGCCGAAAGGCCCGGGTTTCCAATCTCGGAGAAGGCATGGATGTTTGTAAATGTTATAGTGTCCGTGTGGCGGCACTCTATATTTGCGTCGAGCGGGTAATCCTCTCGAAAGGGTGGCAGGGAAAGAGGGGTGCTGTCAATCAAAATTGAAGGCGGAACTGAACTAAGTCGCACTGTCACCTGTAAGGTACTCAAGGCTGTTGCCAACGAGCAGCGTAAACTTGCCCTCCTTACCACGAGGAGTTTCGTGGGATTGGGCTGACTGTAGGTCAGACAAATGAGCATTAGGAACAACAACAAAAACGGCAGATCATGAACAACCTACTGATCGTGCAATTTCGGAGATACTCATTCTGAGTCTTCGGGACATTACAGTCTCCCTCTATCAAATTCGCTTAGATAAGCAGCTTTTCTCATCACTCGCGAAAGGAAATGCAAGAATAATTCCTTACCCTCCCCAATCGCAGTTAAGTACCATTCCCACTTAATCACGTGCCGTCCACGTCATCCAGACGAGTTCAATGAAAAATGTGGGGATGGTCATAATGTTTTGCCTCGTCAGTGTATATTTTAATTTGCATAAGAACCGCACCACTCGCCTGCGCTATGGCAATATCTTCTCGAAGAATATCTAGAAGGTACTGGCTATGGCCCCTTCTGCTATATAACTTGAAGAATTAAAAAAAAAATATTACGTTTACCCTCATTTTTTGTTAAAGTATTAGTTATTAATATTATATTTGCATGCAGTTGCTATTTTATTACTATAATTTGTTATTGTTTTCGATGTGACTAATCTTAATTGTCGGCTCAGGCAAACAGCGTTTGAAGGTCATGTACCCGTGCACGTAGAACATGTAGCCGATTTTCGAACAAGTAAAGTTCATAAACTGCAGCAGATGGCATAGGTGAGGAATAAGGTATAACAATTATAGGCATAACAGGTGTTCATAGCAGATACTTGAGACGTCGAAAGATGTTAGGACGATGGAGACGAGGCGCTAGGCAAAACTACTGTTATAAGACGAGTAGAAAGTTTTTTTTATTGGGGGGGGTATAAATATTTACAATATAATTTTTTTTTGTGTGTGTATATTGCACATACAAATATATATATGCGTACTTTTTCA